GTAGTGACTCAGATGAGTATTGCACAGCTTTGGAGGAACTTCTACCAATAGAAACTTTAAGTAGTGACTCAGATGAGTATTGCACAGCTTTGGAGAAACTTCTACCAATAGAAACTTCAAGTAGTGACTCAGATGAGTATTGCACAGCTTTGGAGAAACTTCTACCAACAGAAGCTTCAAGGAGTGACTCAGATGAGTATTGCACAGCTTTGGAGGAACTTCTACCAACAGAAGCTTCAGGCAGTGACTCATGAGTATTGCACAGCTTTGGAGGGACTTCTACCATCTGAGAGTGATGTCACAGAATTTTGTTTCGAGAAAGGCGCTATTATACGACATGGACCGGATGTTTTCCGTGTAGAGGACGTTCTCGGAAAGGGGGCATTCAGTATCTTCGTTAAGTGCCAAAAAATGGAACCAAGGAGCGTGTACCCATCAAAGTAATAAAAGCAAAATATAAGTCATCTGCCTATCAAGAAGTTCAGAGTTTACGCCTTATGAAGCAGATGCAACCTGAACACAACTGCATAGTGAAGGACTTCACTCCTTTGGTTTATAAGGGTTGTTACTGTATAGCATCTGAGTTGTTGGATATAAACTTACACGCCTTTTTAAAGCAAAGGGGGCCTCTGAGGTGGCTGAAATCAGACCAATTGCACAACAACTGCTTGTCACTCTATGTTCACTGAAAAAAGTGGGATTAATTTATTGTGATATAAAACACAACAATATAATGCTGGTAAATCACAAATTAATGCCTTTTAAAGTGAAACTCATTGACTATGGGGTAGCTGCTCTCGTTAAGGATGTCAAAAAGTACAACAACTATGGTGAAATACAGAATGTCCATTACAGAGAACCAGAGGTTTTTCTGGACCTTCAGTTGAACGAACAGATTGACGTATGGCCTCTTGTCTGTACTTTGGCCTTCCTGCTGTTGGGGAAGGAGTTGTTTCCACATTTCTGTAATTACCAGACCATGCAGGATATTGCGGACGTGTGTGGTATGCCTGACACTGCTTTACTGGAAAAAGGATTTTGCACTGATCATTACTTCGGTCGGGAGAAGTGTGGGTCTATATCAGTTTGGTGGTTCAATACCTCTGCAGAGTATACCGAAAGAACCGGGATCCCTGTTATAAGAGACGGTAGACCGATGGATTTTACTTCACAAGTCGAAAACATGAAATCATCTATGAAAGATGGAGATGAGCTCCAAGATTTTGAACAGTTTTTGAATCTCCTTGACCTCATGTTGAAAGTAAATCCAGCGAAAAGGATCCCTCCACATGAAGCTTTGAACCATCCATTCATCGCAATGGCTCATCTTGCTAATTGCAAAAACCAGTCTTACGTGGACTTTAGTAATGGCATAATGGAAAGATGTCAACTCAGCGACCCACCTACTTTGGCTTTTGAACATGAAGGCAGAAATAGCCCTCAACCAGGTCCCAGTTTTTATTACCCCCCCCATAAACTGTGACCCAAATGTTCAGAAGAATTAGTCGCCACAGTATCCCACAGCGAGTCTCAGCACGGTTTCAGGTTCTGGCTCTGATTCCTCGGTCAGTATAAGTGTTCCAGCCTCTGTCAAAGTCAACGATACAGAATACCAACAAGCAGCAAGTTCAACTGAAAGTCTAAATAATGAGAGGAACCTTCAAGAAACACACAGGTTACAGCTTTTTAGGTT